CTGAGGTTCGAGGGAGGGGTTTATTTGGCATCAAACAAAGTCTGTATATGTTGAAGCAGGAACTTCGGAAACTCAATAAAGAAGAATTTTGGGATATCTCTGAAAGGGCAAGAACTAAGGAAGCTCAAATGAAGGCAGCACAACTATTAGCTGTTGAAGAACCATCAGTTCAACATTTTGCTGAGGTCAACCTACTTACAGAACAATATGTCAAACTGAAGCAGGCTGAGGAATGATTCTTCAGACATCGATCTAGGATTGGGTGGTTAAATCTGGGGGGACCAAAACTCATCTTATTTTCACAACTCAACAAAAATCAGAACAGCAAGAAAGCAAATCAGGAAACTCATCTCCTTGAAAGGGGAGGTACTGACTGATATACAGGACATTGAGGATGAGGCTATTATCTACTACAAGAACTTATTTGGAAGGGTTGATTCTGAAGTTCAGGTGAATGATTCTATGATTGAACGATGTTTGACCAGTAAGCTCAGTGAATTAGATCAACTCAAGCTGTGTGATGTGATAACTGATCAAGAAATCCATGTTGCCCTGTTTGAGATGGATCCTACAAAAGCTCCAGGTCCTGATGGATGGAATGCGAACTTCTATCAAAAGAGTTGGGGGACAGTTGGACCAAGGATAGTGGAAGGGGTGAAACAATTTTTTGCTGATTGCTCTCTGCCACGAGGTATGAATTCTGCCTCTTTGACTTTGATTCCCAAAAAACCAAATGCAGACCAGTTGAATTACTTCAGACCAATAGCTTGTATCAATGTGATCTACAAAGTTATCTCCAAGGTTATAGCAAATAGACTTAAAACAGTGCTTCCTTCAGTTATCAGTAGGAATCAGTCTGCTTTTATCCAGGGGCGTAGTATTGTTGAGAATATATTGATGGCACAGGAGATAGTCCACAATTATCATAATATAAAGATTTCTTCTAGATGTGCAGTGAAGGTTGATTTAAAAAAGGCATTTGATTCAGTAGACTGGAGTTATTTGATGTGTGTGATGAGGAAGATGGGTTTTCCCTCGAAGTTTTTGCAATGGTTTGAGGCTTGCCTAAGTTCTGCTACTTTTAGCATTACGGTGCAGGGGAGTTTATTTGGTTTCTTCTCTGCAGTCAAAGGGGTCAGACAGGGAGATCCCCTATCTCCCTATCTGTTCACCATTGCTATGGAACCTTTAACTGGTTTACTGAATGCAGCAGCTTTAAATGGCACTCTACCATATGACCATATCATCCACAGTGTAAGAGGATTGGGTTGACTAATCTGTGCTTCGCGGATGATCTCCTGATCTGCTCTAAGGGGTCTGGCACTACTTTAATATAACTGAGGCACATTCTAAGGGAGTTCTACACCCTATCTGGACTACAATGCAACCCAGAAAAATGCGAGGTATTTTTTGGAGGGTATGCTCACTTGTTTAAGGACAATGCTCTTGAAGTATCGGGTTTCAAAGAAGGAAGGTTACCTGTTAGGTACTTGGGTTTACCTTTGATTTCTGGGAAACTTTTAAGCCGTGAATGTTCTGTCTTACTTGACAAGATTACAGCTAGAATAAGGACCTGGAGAGCTAATAAATTGTCTTATGCTGGGAGATTGCAACTAGTGGATTCAGTTTTTTACTCTTTAGTACATTATTGGATTGCTATTTTCCTGATCCCTAAGAAAGTCTTGAAAGACACTAAGAAAATCTGCTCTGATTTCATTTGGCATGGTGATAAGCAGGGCCGAGCTAAGGTAGCATGGGACATCTTGGCTTTCCCAAAGAAGGAGAGTCTGGGGTTGAAAAACCTTGTGACTTGGAACATAGCAGCAATGGCGAGACTGATTTGGTTACTTCTCCTGCAAGGGGGGAGTTTTTGGGTGGCCTGGATCAATGGATATCGCCAAAGGGGAACTTCGATTTGGGAGGTTCGTGTATCTTCTTGTGGTTCTTGGAAGCAGGTCCCTAAAAATACGCCCTTGGCTACAATACAAAATGCAGCTTGAGCAGGGGTCTGTAACATGGCAAGGCAACCAGTTGGACAAGTTCTCAGTGTCTGTGGTTTGGGATTCAATTTTGAAGAAACAACCAAAGGCAGAATGGTGGAAAGTAGTGTGGAATAAGTTTATGTTACCCAGGAACAGTATATTGATCTGGTTGATTGTGTTAGACAAGATCAATACTCGAGACAAGCTTAAAAGCTGGGGAATGATATCTGATGGTGCCTGTCCCTTGTGCTCTCTGGCTGATGAAATTCGTTCATATTTTTTGTCAATGTCAGTATGTTAAAGATGTGGCTGCTGGTGTGTTGAGGCTGCTGGTGTGTTGAGGTACAAAATGCAGGTTCACAGCGACTGGTCTGCTATGTTGCAGTTCATGATCAATTGTGTCAAGAATCACGGAAGCAATGGACTAGTAGAAAGCTTTGTTTGGAGCTGGTGTATTTGTGGTGTGTGGAGGGAAAGATGTAGACGAGTCTTTGGATTGGAGAGCCCCCTCGACCGATTCAAGTGCTGATTGAACTGATCAGAGATGAGATTCGACTCTATGCGTGTGGGCACCCCGAGTTTGCTACCCAGCTTCAGTTATCTACTAGTTGTGGTAGGGTTTTGTAGTTGGTTAGCTTTATGGTATCGTTGTATGTACGAGGAGGGTAGGCTTTAAGCCTCTGTATTTTTTCGAAACTCTTGTGCTGATTTGGCCAGGAGAGTGCTCTTATTAGAATCTGCTAATTACCGGAAAAAATATGTTTAGAAGGTTTTCTAATTATTATATTAGATAAAACTTGTTGAAATATATTTATGGATGTTTTTAAAAGTTTTGGGTATCAAAAAGTAATTGAAATTTTGGGTTGGATGGAAAAGTAGACGGATGCACATTTTGGCGACTTTAATGGTACCCGACGTTTTATTCAAACTTAAATGGTATGTCTACCCCAATTCTCAAACTTAAGTGGTACTCGAGGTATTTTACCCTACGAAATACATACAATAGGAACAAGATAAACAATTTAATTATCTAGCAATAACATTCTTAGTTGGATAAAATTATACATATAATGAGGAAAATTCATTGCAAGATTTAGGAGCAAATGCTCTACACTTCCCTAAAATGTGGGAGGAGGGTTTAACTTGTTGAAATTTAAGGAGAGCAAGACTCTTATTAGTACTTCAGGAATACAACTATTAGAAGTCAGAATAAGAAATTATAGAATCTAGAGATATAATTTTAAAAGTTCTCATAATTCAAGTTTACGCGCCTCTCCCGTTTGAAATTTGAAATAATATCTATCTGTTAAGAATTTTTTTAAATATAATGATAGAGATATACACAGAACTATAGGTGGATTAACTTACCGACATAACAACGTAAATAAAAAGGAAAACAAATAATAAATAACAAAGCAGATTATTTTTCCTTGTTTCGTCGGGTTAATAAGCTTATACAATTACGATTCTTCAATAATATTAAATCAGCCAATCTAATACAATTTAGAAAAATTTCACTCCAGTAGATAGCGATACTTTTGATGATTTCACTAAATTTAATAATTTCTAATATTTTCGACTATTTGACATTTTAAGGTTTAATCCCAATTTCAGAAAACATCATTAAGTTTGTTTTTATAACCAATTAATCGGGATTATTCATTTTAGTTACACTTAAAAAAATAATCATCGCTGGGAATATGTTCAGAGAAACAATGTTAGAGTTTTGGGGAGTTGAGATGTCATGAAGTTTGTACGGAGCTCATCTCACCATTACCTTTCTGTCAGAATACTATAGTTCAATGACCCAAGATCATGAGAACTCTCTCTGCCTCTAAACAACAATCCCACTCAGAAATCGAACGCGAAAAAATGGAAGTTCAAACCAATGAAACCATAATCTACCATTTTATTCTTTCTTTCTAACTTGATCTATGTCACACGTGGAGAGATTAGTGAAGTTGTTTTTCCAATACAAGACTCATCCATTCATCTCCCCTGCCCCTAACAATGACCTTTTGCCGCGTAATTGGATTCCCAATTAGAGCATCTCCATCGGCTCTATTTGCCTGACGTGGATTGGAGAGGTTTGCAATGGCAGACTTTTAATTTCATTGATGTGGGAAGTGGTGTAACTCATGCAAGCTTTCATATCATGAAAGCCCATTTGCAATGCCAACGTGGAGGGATGGTGGGTCAGATTCAATTTTTTTTGTTGTCATTTAAATAAATTCAAATATATTTTAAATGGATTATAAATTTAAATGTAATTGCAAATGAATTGCATTGATAAAGGACAATGAAATTCAAATGAGTTGGATTGCAAAATTTGACGATGTGTCTATAAAACCACTTAGGGTGCGTTTGGATAAGTGTATTTTAAATGTAAGGTATTTGAAATACTAGCATTTGAAATGGATGTATTTGAAGTATTAGCATTTGAAATACATGTAATTCAAATTCATTGTTTGGATACTCATTTGTAATTTGTTTGTATTTTTGTATTTATGATTTTCAATTTCAATTTTTAATTTTCTGGCCACTTACTACAAATTTTGGTAAATTACAGTTTGGTACCTGAAATTATTTTTTCTTGCAATTTAGTACCTAAACTTTTAAATTTTTACAAAAAGGTCCTGAAATTTTGATGGTAAAATTACATTTTGGTACCTTTATATGTTTTGCCTCACACTATAGTACCTAAACTTTTCATATTTTACAAATAGGTCCATTCTTTTGTTAGGAGGTATTTCAAATCACTAGTTGTTGAAATGTATTTGAAGTTGACAAAAAATACACTAGACATGTATTTGGAAATCACCCCATGAATTTGATACAAATCCAAATACCAAATGTAATTAATATCCAAACACATGATTTGATATTTGAAAATCCAAATCACAAATCCCAAATCCTTGTATCCAAACGCACCCTTATGCAATTAACTATGCAATTGCATTGATGTTGATGCTTTTAACCGCTCCAATTAGAAACTGAGCGCCGCCGCAGCCGCTACGCTTATCTTCTATTGGATAGAAGCATCAGCGTGGAAGAAGCCTCCATCTCCATAGCCCGGCCGTCCAATTGTTCCCGGAGATTCGTCAGCCTCCTCCTCATCTCCACCAGCTCCTCTATCCCCATCTCCTCGATAGCTCTCGGGATTAGAAAGTCCAAACAGTCGGCCGCAGCCGCCAGCGCCTTCTCAAGAGCGTCGCCTCTGTTCTTCTCCACTTGGATCCGCTTCTGGATCCCGTTTAGTTCCTCGGCCAGCCTCTCGCTTCGGCGCCCGGAATTATCTCTCGGCAGCTGATGATCCCGATGATTAGTGAAGCGGTCGACGAGGGGCTCGACGCCGGGGTTGCCGAAGGAGAAGGGCTTGCCGCCGGGGGAAAAGACGACGATGACGATCTGGACGGCGCAGAGGGTGGCTAGCTCGTTGGCTTTCTTGAAGAGTCCGGTCCGGCGCTTGGAGAAGGTCACTTGCCTGCAACTCCTGTCCGTCACCATCTTCATTTCGATCTTTCGCCGCCCCATTTCTTTGTCTTTTATTTTCTCTCGGTTTCCTGTTTGGGAGGCAGAGTAGGTGGAAATGGAAATGAGAGTGAGTGACTGAAGAAAATGGATTTGTGTGAGAATTTATACTAGGACTAGGAGGGATTGAGAGAGTGAGTAAAGCGTTTTTCCAATTTTGAAGTCTTGCGGTTTGTCTGAATTTGATTGGGTGTTCATTGAATTTGGGATCTTGTGGGTAAATTGAATACGAAGTTGGATGACTCTCCAACTTTTTTTTTTTCAAAAAATATTCTTCTTATTGCTTTCTTTCCTTTTTTGGGAAGGAGTAAGATTGTGTGTAATATTTCAGACTAAGACAAAATTTCGAGGTGATTCATTTTTGTAATGCTTTATGCAAAGTATGTTTAGTTTTGAAGTTTTTATATAAAAGAAATTATTTCATCTCAAAAACGCGTCTTTACTGTTAATGTTGGATTGATGCATGCTTATAGTCTATGAATTTTTCTTATTTTATTTATGTGAGACTCGGTTAAGGTGTTAGTGTATTACAACATAAAGAAAAGAATTAACTTAATTGTGTTTCCAAATCAAGCAGTTTTTTTGTTCATTCACCCAACAACTGTGCATATTCACGCACTTTTGTACATATTCACACAACAATGGTGTGTTTATTCCGGCAACATTACTTCTTGGGTAATATTAAATTTTTGTTTCAAAACATATCAAAGAAAATAAATTTTCTAGATCGAGACTAATACAACTTTATTATTAAAAAGACGAGTAACCAAGTTTGTTCCAAAAAATTATCAGCTTTGCAGGACGCGATTAGGTGGTGTTAACATCATGGCGTAGAGGTCGTAACGATTGAGGCGGACGCCAAGATTGTGATTGACAAGGTTAACGCTGGGGATCTTCGTGCTGCTGCAGGTGGAGTTCTGTTTGAGGAAATTTGTCATCTTCTTTCGATGTCCCTAGGGTTTAGGGTTCAATTTGTGGGTAGACAGAACAATAGGGTAGCAGGTAGCTCATATGGTGGCTAAGAAGACCCTGTCTTTGTTTCCTGCGGGTTGTATTGAGTTAGATTTCCGTGCGTGGCTTTGGTCACAGTCATTGTAACTTTGTGTTCTTGTTTAATGCAAGCTATATTTTCGACAAAAAAAAATTATGACTGATACAAATTATTGTTGGTAAAAAAAGGTAAAGATAAAATTTATGTACATTTTTTCTTTTTTTTTCCTGCGGGTTGTATTGAGTTTGATTTCCGTGCGTGGCTTTGGTCACAGTCCTTGTAACTTTGTGTTCTTGTTTAATGCAAGCTATCTTTTCGACAAAAAAAATTATGACCGATACAAATTATTGTTGGTAAAAAAAGGTAAAGATAAAATTTATGTACATTTTTTCTTTCCCTCTCTTATTACATTAATGAGAAAATGGATGGCGAGACAAAAAATATTTCCTCGCTGTGTTTTATTTTACAATGCGGGGACTTGTATTTCATTCGATGAAAGCAGAGATCAAAGTGTCATTACAAAAGCAGATCAATAAGATTACAAATTAACACCCAATCCGTAGGTAATGAACACAATTTAGCCTGACAAGCCACCTAATCTGCAAGCTTGTTTAGCCGATGAGGAATGAACTCCACAAGAATCCAAGGAGAAGACCGTAAGATGGAAGACATTCGAGCAAGGAAGGCTCGACAAAGACAAGGCAAAGAGGAAAGATCTTGTTGCAAGGCAAGTGACAACACCTGACAGTCCGTGCACGAATGCAGGTAGGTGTCTGATCTTGCGAAGCATTTATCTCTCGTGCTTGCATTGAATCAACTCATATAGGGAAGGCTACTCAAAGGTATCAATTTTCTACTATTATTCTGTCTTAAGATCCCAACTGCTAAAAGCTACCACAGTTTTGGCCTATTGTTTGCATTAATGTGTTTTATAAGATCATCTAAAAAATACTAACAAATAGGTTGAAGAATGTTCTATCTAGCATCATAAGGAGGAATAAGTTTGGATTGTGAAGGGTATTCTAATGACCTAGGAGATTGTTCAAGGCTATCATTGTAAATGGCTCAATTACGTAGTGGATGTAGAGAAGGGGTAGACCCTAGAGGATATCATCATGACTTCAAATATTGAATGTATGTTTTTTTTTTTACAAATTGTGGCATCTTTATTCCAATTCAAACAAGGGGAAACATAGTCTGTTACAGCTATGGAGAAACAAGATTAGCAGTTACAACCCAATCTCTCGGAAGAAGGTCAAGTCGAGCATTATGTGCAACCTAATCGGCAAGCGAGTTGAGAGTTGAGACGTCAGGGAACAAACTCCACCGTCACCCAGGAAGCCGAAATGAGGACGGGGGTGATACGAGCTAAGATAGCCCGACATTGCCACGACCACAAGTCATGATTCTGCCTCAACGCATTTACCAGAACATGACAATCAGATTCAACAAGGCATAAGCTTCCACCTGTATCGGACTGGAACAAAGAAATCTCTCAACCTTGTCGTCATACACCTAACCATTAGAATTAGCAATAGTAATCCCATAATTAAACCGCCACCTGTGAATCAGAAACAAAGGAGCCATCACAGTGCACAAACTTCAAGATTGTGCCAGGCGGTGGTGAGGGGTGTGAACGGGATCCCCTAGGTTGAGTAGGCTCCAACGCTGATCGGTAAGAAGATGAAGCGCGGGGGCAACTTCTGGCTTCGACCAAGCTCAAGAAATCACGATAAGCCAAGGTAGCCGTAGTGGGCGGGAAATAGCCCTCTGAGGACACTTCTAGGACACTTATTTTCGGTTCGCTTGGTGAATCGACACAGGTTAAATTCTGAGATTTGAAAGAGCGTCAAATAGGGTCTTGACTTTGGAGAAAACTCTTGAAGTTGAGGTCTTGGTTTGAATATCAACTTGCTATGGATAGCCAATGAGTGAATTAGGAGGGAAAGTACCAACACGATGGTTCAAAATCAAGCTGATTTGGAATTCTCTTTAGTTTGTTTGTCTCTATTGTATATTAGTTTACACAATTCATATGATAAGGGACGGTGATCCCGCTCCAGAGCACAAACGTGAATTGGGAGAAATTCGTATAAAACTCACAAACGGGAAGATGATCTACTAATCGCCGAGTTTTGTTAAGTCAATTGGATTGAGTGCTTACAATTGAATTTGTAGAGAGACTCGACTAGAATTTTAAGGTGGATTCTGATCTACAAATTGTACTGATTGCTACTAGAATTTTCTGTATTTTACCCTTGAAAATTATGGGGATGGAAACTCTTTGGAGGAAGGGGACTAAGGTTGAAGACGAATGGTTGGGAAAGTTTGGGAAGCTGATGAGAGAAAATCAGAATATCATTTGCGGAAATTTTTGTGGGTTGTAGTGGGAGAGGCATGTACTTCCTACATATTTATTTATTTATTTATAAAATATAACATAAATAAATTAATAACAAAGAACAATTTTTAGGTCGTTCAATTATTATGAATAAAATGATAATAATCACTTTGATATATTAATTGGGCTTATTAAAATTTCCTATTTCATTTCTAGCCTAGGTGTACCTTTTATCTTTTTAATTTTCTGTTTATAATTATTTAGTATTTTTTAAAATTTTGGTATGATATTAATTAATATTTTAATTAGAACCATATAAGATATACGATCCATCGACGCTCTAAACACGTCATTCTCTGAGAATAAATGCCTTTTGCGCTCGCCCGCTCTCGCTCTTCCTCTCGCGCTTCACGAATTGGTTACGTAAATTATAGACGTCTCATCTGTGTTCAACATTTGTTATGATTTGTACTACTTTCCAGTTTTGTGAGAAAAGCTAATTACGAACTTTATAAGAACGTTAATTATTCAATTAAACTCTTCAAAAGTACACCAAACGGTCAGATCAAGAACCATAACTTAGTATATTTTCTGAAATGTTCGCCACATAAATAAAACCTTCAAAAGTCACACTCAAATGCTTCCGCCGGCGCCACCTAGATTAGCACCAGACCCCGCCGCCGACGACGACCCGAAGTTGTTATTATTATTATTCTCCTTCACCTTCGCATCCAGAGCCGCAGCAACCTCCCCGAAGAGAAATTCACTCGCCCGGAGCTGGTCCCGGTTCATCTCCCCGACCGGAATCTCCCACCAATCCAATCCCGCCTTCCTCCACGTCATCACCTTCCTCAGATCCTCCTGACGCGCCTTCAGCGCGTCCACCTGCTCCACGACCTCGTTGTGGCGCTGGCACAGCTCGTCGATCTTCGCACGCCGCCGAGCCTCCTCGAACCGGGGAAGGGCCGGCCCGGTCCTGTTCAGGAACCGTTGGGCGAGGGGTTCGATGGACGGCGAGCCGAAGCTGTAGGCCCGACCGGCCTGGGAGAAGATGAGGAGCGCGACGTGGGCGCCGCAGAGCGTGGCCAGCTCGTTGGCCTTCTTGTAGAGACCCGATCTGCGCTTCGAGAAGGTGACCATGCGGTCGTCGTCGTTCTCGATCCTTTGCATGGCGATCTTTTGCCTGCCTCTCGTCTTCTTCGCCGCTGCCGCCATTATTGTAGTTAGCGGGGAGAAAGAAGGAGATGTGGCCTCTTGTGGTGATGAATTATGCAAGGGTTGAGGGTTAATGAGTTTATATAAGAGATTAATGAGTTGTCGATGAGCTGGAAGGACTGTGAAAATGGTTCAAAGCATTTGTGTTCTTCCCTTTTGAGGTGAAATACAGGATATACCAAATATAGATCAATCCATCTTTATCTTTTAAGGTGCTTAATGGTTATTTAGTTAATGGAAGGAAAGAAGGAGAAAAAAAAAATTCGAATTTACCATTAAAAAAAATTTGGTATAGATATTAGTCTCTGGGCGCAACGTTTTTCCGAGACTGATTCAGAGTTACTCTATCGAGTTTCGTATGTTTTTATTTAGATTTCGGAACCAGAAAAGGAAAGTAAATTTTAAGGGTATGTTAAATTTCCACTTTGATGCATAATATATATTTTCTTATCTGTGTATACGCAACTGCTGCTAAAGAGTTATGACGATGCATACTCAAATTGGGTGTTGATAAACCTGCACATGATCTAGGCGTTTGTGTGTTAAATTACTATAGCTTGTGCTGATATGTATTCATAACTTCCTATGCATACATCATGGGAAAATCGCCCCACTTATCATATTTTATGCTTGCTAAAGACATGCAATGCTGATTTTCCATGAACTCTTCTTAATAACCTTCTTCCTTCCTATTATTTCCCATTCTTCTAGTTTAGGATGCCATCAACATTTCCTCTTTCCAAAACTTCACAGAACCATGCCTCGCAATTTTTCTCTTTGCCCATTTTGATCCATTTCATTAGATTACTTCATCTCAAGATCCTGCTAATTCATTCACAATTCCTTGAAAAAATTCTTTCTTTTTATGGTTAAATTCCTTGAAAAATTCTCCAGAGTCTCTAGAGCCCTAAAAACGACATTCATTGCAAACTTCCTTTAGTCATTCTGAATAGGGTACTAATTATACCTATGTAGAATCAAACACCATATGAACTCTAGAAAGGAAGGAAGTCAAACCTAAGCTATGTACCTTTTGGATGTGAATGCTATGTTTTAATGGACATTCGAGCCAAAAATCAGACTAGTGGAATATTCTTGGGCTACTCTATAACCATAGCAAAGTCTACATAATCATGAACAAAAGAACACTTAAAAGTGGAATAATCCATCAATTATAAGAAGTTCATCCATAATTTGAATTAGGTGAATTAGAACAGCCTCATCAAATGGCCACTACACTATCAAAGTGGTAAGGTAAATAGAAACAAAGTCAGACTAGTTGCTAAAGAATATGACCAAGAAAAAAAAGGTATTGACTTTGATGAAACGTTAGCCTCGGTTGCTAGAATCAAGGCAGTTCGGTTACCGTGTGCCTTTGCAAGTGTTAGAGGTATCAAATTATATCCAATGGATGTTAAGAGTGTCATTTTGAATGGATTCTTAAATGAAGAAGTGTGTGTTGAACAACCTCTAGTTTTCATATATCATTCATTAACCAAACGCATAGAGATTAAGTATCACTTGCTCGGCGATTTGGCTCATCAAGGAAAAATACACATTTTTACCCAACCAAGTGACCAACAAACATCATACATATTCACCAAACAATTAGGGCATGGTCATGGTATCCACCCTAACTACCTAAGAGGGAAATGAGTTCATAGAAGGAATAGTTTCTTTGATTTCCATAAAAATTCCTCCTCAAACTACTATCCCATGGTAGTTCACCTGCTCTATCACAATATGCAGGATGATGGACATTTGATGTCCTACTTCACCTCCATCTTTCTAGGCCATAGTGTGTGCTTTCAACCCCCAGCCTTTTCGTTGAAATTCTCAATACTCGTGATTTTGGTTCGAACCTTCGTACTGAGCCTAACTTACATATACACCATCGTTCGTTCTCTCCATCTTATTCAAATTTTCTTTCATCAAGGTTTTCTTACATTCTACATCTGTATTACTTGCTTGGTTGGTTTTCAAATATTTTCATGGTAGGCGACTTGCTTCATTCCCATCACATTTGCTAACTTTGCCTGCCATTATGTTTCCACATTCGTACTATAGAAGAGCTTAAATTTTGTCAAATTAACCTTGTGACGAGCTTTGATTTCATCAACTTCCAATCTCCTTCAATACCCATCTTTCAATCTTAGTCCAATCGAGCAAATTTATTTGTCGTATGCAAACAACATATGTGAGATCATCGATCCATCCTTCTTTCATTAACTACTTTAGTGGTTAAAGTCGGTAGACCTTCCACATATAGTAAAACAAATACGGTGACATCACATTGCCTTGTCGTAGTCCCCCTCCCTCGACTAAAAGTCTATATTTTCTTACCATTAACTATCACCGAGTATGAGACTGTTGTGGCATAATACATAATGAGTTAAACCTACTTCACATCGAACCCAAGTTTCAACATGATAACTTCCAAATAGGCCATTCATTTTGTCATGTGCTTTCGCAATGCCAAGTTTCATTGCCAGATAATGTGTTTTTCTTTTGTCTGATTCTTCATCACATTGAAGCACTCAAACGCTACCATTACATTACATGTAATGTAATGTAACTACCATACACAGATGCATATGCTCCTTTTACAACTCGGTCAATAATCTTCTATAATCAATAATCTAGCACCTTAATAGAATCCTATACAACACCCTACACAAGCTGATAGGCTAGCCCTCGAAATCGTACTTTGTTGTGATCGTACATATCCAATGCCCGGAACGCAAGCAACTTCTTGATATTATAATCTCAAAATCCTTTCTTAATGACCACCTTGCTTTAGAGCAATTTTCACGAACTTTACGTTAGGGTTTTGTAGGATAATCAAACGTGGTACCAACCCTTAGTTTTTGTACAACTTCAATCTCCTTTGCTAATGCCTTCTTCTCTCACAATCAATGGTATATCATCATCTTCTTCCATTTGTAACCTTGTATCAATCTCCCTTGATGCAGGGTTTTGATTTTTGCAGTTCCACCATATTTCTTTAGGAGTAGGTTTCACACAACTCTCCAATCATAATAGGTACAAAAGAATGCTTCCCGCCACTAGGGGTTGGAGGCAGGCTAGCAAAGCAATAAGCAATCCCTAAAAGCATCAAGGGATCTGCTCTGAAAACTCACTTGGTATCAATTGCATCATAGTCACAAAGTAAAGCTCTCTTCGAGCAATATGATGAAGTTAACATAATTGTAGACGTCACTCTCTTGAAAACCCTAACAAAATGAGAGAAAATCATTAATTACTTTTCGAATGAATCAAAATCCTCATTATAAACTACTCCTTTCTATAAATTTGTCAAGTTTTCGTGAGATTCAAAATAGGCTAGAACATATAGGCTAGGTTGGATATGCAAGTATATACCAAGTCCTCTAAAAGGAAAAATAAGTATATTCTAGGTTCTAAACTATTATGATATGAGATTTTCTCGAACTTTTGAGAAAGGGAAATCTATTGTCTCTCTCGGTCTTGGTCACCGCATGATTAATCTCCGCGGAAAATAGTACGAGGGCGGAGGGCAGCGAGAACGAGAGCCGAACAACGAAGCTCTTTTCTCTCTATCTCTGTACATCAGAATCAGTCGAGAAAAGGGAAGAAAATCACCGAGATAGGCCTCAGGAGAAAAGCGTAAAATCAGAGTATTAAGAAGGAGAGCAGATCTTACCTCCGAAAAAGATCCCACCTTCTGCTGCCCGTATATTCGTAAAACCAATACACAGCACAACCCAATTGCCATTGCTTCTCCGCTCCCCTCTTCTCTCTTTTCCCTCCTTTGTGTGCCCTCTTTTGTAAGTCCCCTCCTCTTTGCCTGGGATAGTTGTAAGGGTTTAGTCCTTTTTGTTTTTGTTCCCTAAGAGTAGAAATAGAGAGAGGGTGGAGATGTTTGGAGCGGCCACAGAAAGGTCTTCTTCCTGTTGCTTCCATCCTGGAGTGTTGGCTGTCAATGTGGGTCTTGCTTCTCTCGACGGCATTCTCGCCTTTCTCGCATTCTATCAGGTTTTGTTTCTCGACGCCGCTTCTATTTCTCTTTTCCCAGTGGTTTTTTTTTTGTTTGCTTTTGCCTCCAAGTCTATCAATTGTTAAGAATCGAGGATATGCTTGACAATTGGCTAAGAAAATGTAGTTCAAAACTTCTGCGCCCGAGTCGAAATATTCTGACTTAGTAGGAGTGTTATGGGTTTTGCTTTTTGATGCGAATGTCGGGGCATTGATGCTTGAAATTGGCCTAGATGCCGAAGTCTAACCTGTTGTCTCCATGGGTTTGAAATGTCGTTGTCCCAGACGGCCTAGATTCTGTTTATAGTTGCTGCTAGGGACATAATTGTTATGATGATGGTTCCAGAGAATCCTGGGGTCACAATGATTGGATTCTTGATCAATGTGTGCTACTGTGCAGCCAAAATGTTTAGATTCTGTCTCTATAAGAGTAGCACTAGGATACAGACTCATAGAATTTGCTGTGGAATGGTTTTGATCAACTGGTAATGGATGCACATTTTCTTTTTCCAGCTGATAAAAATTCACTCAAGGAATGTACAACTTGGCTGGACCAGACAAAAGGTAATTCCTATATTCTCTGGCCTTTCGTTCCTTTTTGTTTCACTTAGCTGAGGGTTGAGTAACATAATGTCGTTGGAAAAGGTTGGCTGACTTGGGGGCAACTTGTTGTTAAAAATCTTAAGTATAAGAGGAGATGGATGTTTGAAATGAAAGAAGTCTGGTGAATTATCTGACCTAGATGTCAACAGATCTTTTCTTCTTATGGGTCTTATGTGAGCTACCAACCATGTGTGCAATTCAAATTTATATCCAGTTTTCAGTTTTCTTTTGAAATCCTTGAAATAGGCATCCTCTCCATGGGTTTTCTGCATGGGTTTACATATTCAAAAGGAAACTCAAGACTACGTGACATAAAAATGGCTTGTGCGTAATACATATTATGCTGAAACTCAGTCTTGAATGGTAGCCCCATTTCTTTTGGTAATTTTTTCATTTCACATTCTGAATACTGCTGAAGCTATGTCAGTATGTCTACATAATTGTGCATCCAAGTCAAACAATCATGACTTATTTGTTATTCATTTATGTTATTTCTGCCCCAATCACTTACATTGACAATTACGCGGTAATTTTTTTTATGAATTACAGGTGTTTCATGTACTGGTTGGCTCTTCTAATCTAGGTAAGTTGTCATTCAAAATCCCGTTAAAATTTTCTCGATTGATGTGATTTGTCAAATTATGGCAAGTTCCTAATATCATTGAGATTTAGGATACTCATGCTTATGCTGTGCTATTCACATCGAGTTGCATTAAACTGGATACCTTTTTCTGTTTTTGTCAGGTTACTTTCTTTATTTCGCAGCAAGTCCCATAGCTTACCATAACAAATGGCTATGCTGGTCATACTCGTGTGGTTTTATCCTCATGGGTATGTCTTTTCTATCTTCTTTTTTTACCTCAATACAACGGCCATTGTGGGATTAGGGTCATAGTATGACTTAAGAAATGATGTTCTGTGTTTTATTTGGTCGCAGCCTTCTCCAAGATTTTGTTTTTCGGAGCTTTTCTTCTGCTTTTATCCTTCTGGTATGTTATACTTATTCCTATTCTGAATATTAGATTGTTAAAATTGAGTGGCCAACCAAGTCTCAGTGACACATTTTTTCTGTAGTGGAATGGCTCATGAATTGAAAACCCTAGATTCTCCTCTTCTCCTTCTAGATTTGACAGATGCAAGTCATATTCCTAAAAACCTTGCAAGTTCAGCCTGACAGATTTTCGTTTTATTATGTTCGATGACAATATCGCTGGCCACGTTGTTAATGCTTAGCTAGGTCTAGAATGACATGGCAGCATATATGATGTAGGTGAATTGTGTCAAGACTCTACTATCTTTTTCTTGGTTTTGTTTCAGCATTCCAATTTCATACAGTTTTAGCGAGTAACCACTTTGGTGATTGTAGGATTTTTGTGGGATGTTTGGGACTTGGGATTGCTGTGAACATCCTTATTTGTAATGATTATGCCTGTCTTGAACATCTATGGTGTGCTGTGTCGTACCAGGTGCTGGGTGTCTTTAGAGTGGCAGTGCTCTCGTCAAAGCACTCTAATGTTCTTATTTGTTATATTTTAGGGTGGACCTTTGTCATCAGGCAGATGATGAGGATTATGAGGAGGAAGATTTCAACTTCCATGAACCTTTGTTGGAAATGCCACCAGAGCACTCAGGTTCGACACATGGAGAGTCTCAAAGAGCATGTTTGCCATTTCGCTCGATCCGTGTTGGAAGTCGACAAAGAGTTGTGATTTTGGTACCAAAGTTACTTGTTCTTTTGTTTTTTTAGTTGGTATAATCCATTGCCATGTAAATTCCCTGTAGACTTGTGAAAAATGGAACACAATTCTAATATAATCGCTGGTTTTTCCTTATCAGGTCATCATTCTTGCATTTGTTTCAACAATAACATGTGCGGCACTATTCTGGATTGACATGAGCAATGGCTTTAGTCATTCATCATTATTGGCCATGGTATGGCCATTTGAAAATTCTCTTTTTTGCATTGCTTTCTTTTATTGGGAGTTCTCTTCTGCTTCTTCCATTTATCCTTATCAGTTTGTCTAGATAACACACTTTAGGATGCTGTTTAAATATTTGTTTAATGTCTGGATTGAGGCGACTTCTGGAGAAATTGAACATTGATCTTATATTGTATCCATTCTGTCTGTAGGCTCCTCCAAGAGCGTTTGTTTCAATGAACGATTTGAACTTATATGAAGCCTGATTTCCAATATAGCACCACTGTATAGGAAATTCTGATGTCCAAAGTTTGGCAGTTCAGCTTGATAGATACATAAAACCCGATTCAGTATGATTGGAGTTCACCTTAAAAAAAAGTACCGCTCTTGTAAGGAATTATTAAGTAAATGTAGAACCGTGGCCTGGTGAGGGGTAAACTTAGACCGCTCTTGTTTCTTGCTGTGTTTTTCTGACAAAGAAGAAAGCTGTTTTAGTTTGCTGTGTAGAAATGTGTGAAGGATCACTGCAAGGTGATTTCTTCCCTAATGTTAGCAGTAGAAGTGATCCAGATCCTAGTACAAGGAACCAGCTATATTAGTTGGTTTAGTGGAAAGGGTTGAATATATGGGACATATGATTGAGCTGCAATGACTTTATGGGGTTTCACTTAGATGGCTTTAACTTTCTCTTTTACACGTATGGTGATTAGATAGATGAGTTCTGTGGATTATTTTTATCTCTTGCAGATCTATGAAGATATATCTGATGTGGTAATGCTATTGCTAGGTGGAGCATTGGCTTGTTATGGTAAGTGACTCTCTCTCTACTTTGTTTTTTGAGCTCGATTGTTCAATTCGCTTGTGGCTCTGTCTTGGTATGATGTCATTTGAACTGCTTTGCTTTAATAGTTTCTGGCTTTAGCTTACAACGTAGCACTGATTTAGTCGGCTTTTCTGGAGGCCTGCTTTTATTTTATCACACATTACTCGACATGCCATGGAACTCCTGGGTATCATTGTAGATCATGTTTTCTACAATGCATATTCTGATCATAGAAACAGAAACCATCTTATTTGGAATGCAAGTGCAATAGTTTTCTACAGCACAATTGATGAAATTTTAGAAACTAGGAGGCTTCAAAAGGATTCTTTCCTAAAGTGTTGTTGCTTGATTTCACTCTCACAAGTGAACTTGATACAAGTATAACTCCATAGATATTCTGTTGCGGGCCAGTTTCCGTACATTAGTTTTGACATTTGAAGCATGTTAAAGGAAGCTGCTAGAGGCTAGTACCAGACTTGATAAAATGGTTATTGTTTAGTAGGATACTTTTTTTTTTTTTTTGTGTGTGTGTGGAAATGGTGGCAGAATAAAGGTTTTGCCTGCTCATGTTGCTCTTCGTTGTCTGCAAAACTTGATTTCTCATCTGTGTTATGTACAGGCCTTGTATTGTACTTGAAAATGAGGCGAGTGAGATCAGAGAGAGCTGCCTCAGACATATGGAAGGTATCATCATTTGTAGCTTTTCTATCTACGAAGATTCTGAAGCAGTTTTGTCACCCTATCAGCATGTGACACGGAAATATGTCCTGCCACCATGGTTGTCTCAATTATTACTTGATATTATGTTGCTCCCACCATGAAATATTCATTCATGTGTGTGCAGGTAGCAGGCTTGGCAGTTGTAGCTGTTATATGCTTCACGACCAGTGCTCTTGTTGCTTTTTTGGCTAATATTCCAGTATGACTTTCTTCTTCCCCAAGCTTTGAGTTGCATTATTGAACTTGGGGAATCTGATTTTTCTCAAGCTTCACAATATACGTTAATTGCAGGTTCGTTACAACTGGCAGCAACTGGACGGAAATGATCTTCTTACTTCTGTTTTATTGATTTTATACTATTTCATAGGTATTTCTTGGTCTCTCTATTATTTTGGCATAGATTAATATATATTTCTTAAATTATGGCTCGACTCTTACCAAGCCCTTTTGCATGATGACTTGACTCGGTATTCTTGGGTAATTATGGTTATTTTACAGGTTCTTCTGTACCTTCAGCATTTCTGCTGTGGATAATGAGAGAACTACCACCACCTTTAATGTCTAGTGTACCTGAAGAATCAACGACAATTACCTTTGTTAGTGACAGTACCGGAGTGATGCACAATCCTCAGCGCTGGACTACCTCAGCAAGCTTACAGAACCAGGTTTGGATTCTGTGAATTTGCTTAATTAACATGCCTACGAGTTGTTTATCCATGTGATAGCTGTGGCCTTTAGAGTTGGATATATTTATTACTACTGTTGTCTGTGTTCAAGGGTGAAGCTTGCTTTTGTTAGACAAAATGTGTGTAGTTTGCTTGAGCTGTCAATTTTTTCCTTCTTCCCAACCCTGTGCTGGTGAAAGTAAAGCCCATGGATGATGCATGATACAGAAATGTTGATTGATTTGCCAGCGGGGCGAAAAGCAAGCAATACTTTCTCCTGAAGCAAGACAGAGGTTGTCTGGATCAAAAAGTTCGTCCTCCTCATCAGACCGCAACAAATTCTTGGACTAAATCGAATTCCCATCCAGTCTGGTCCCTCTCCCGTTCTATCTCTGTACATTTGAGAAGTTAAAAGAGTCTTCCTGGGGAGAGAGAACTGAAAAGAGAAGCTTCGACATTTCGCTGAATCAAGCGACACTTTATCACTGCTGGAAAAGATGGATAAATCAACTTATGCCTATGCCTGTACTGCTTGGTGTTTGGTTTGCCTTCCAAGGAGATTTGTATTTAGTTCCTTTGTCTTAATCCGTGTTCTTCTGCACACCTGATACAAATAGGAAGGATGTGGTTACTTGAGACGAGAAAATATTAAACCAGGGCAGACGGATGGGATAACTGTTGGTTTTCGAGTGCAGGTATCGAGAGCCAGTCCAATATAGTCGGAGGGAGGAAGGACTAACCTGAACCATCTTGCTGACTGGATCTGGAGAATTGTTGCAAGAAAGTTCGAATGGTGAAGTTCCATTGATGATCACAACCAAAGAATGGGAACGAAAGCAGATGAGGGGAAGACAAACCACAAGGTTTTGTCTGCCAACCATTGCTTCTGACTTCTGTATGTAAATAACAGAAGCTTTTTGAACATTTATTTCTTTTGCCTCTTTATTGTTTCTCCCTCCCTCCCTCCCTCCCTCCCTCCCTCCCTCCTAGTCTGATTTTCCTGGATGGTCCAGCCTAGCTTAACCTGACATTCAGCTGCTAGCATTGTTTTATAATGCTCGCAGGATGCTTGTTTATGATTCTTTTTGAAGCAAAAAACTCATAAGATGTCACCAAAATTGGTGCGACTTCTTTGCTTCTGTTAAGTATGATAAGAAAATTTTGTTCTTAAAGAGTTGAGTTTAGCGGTATATTTCTGGCTCTCCAGAGTACTTGTGCTGTGGATACTTTATCCAATGCAGTTCAGATGCTGTTTCTTTTCATTTTACTGTAATTTGGAAGTCGGGTAGTGAAAAGTCTCTTTTTCCCCCTTCGTGAAAGAGTATTTTTTCAGCAATACAGATCTGCAGCAGGCTCAACGATAATTTTGGGATGTAAGAAGGAACGATGAGCCTTCACTGAAAGGTCCGGAGTACCTTTGATGCACTCTAGAATCCATGCAAACTTTGATCCTGACTTCAAAGTTGGATGCAGTCATCTGGTTTGTAATGGTTGCTACTCTGATGTCGAAGACCTGGGTATTTCACAGCGTCTTGTATGGATGGTTCCATAAAAACTATAGCTTGGACATGTTTCAGGTTGACCTAATGTCGCACCCTGTAATCAGAAACCCCCTAGTGACCCTGGAAAATGCACGTTAACCAGTTGAGTGTTCTCCCACTAATAACGAGATCACCGTAAGGGGGTAGCCGGAGCCCATTTGAAGCAGGTGATTGGGTTCCGGCGGGTGTTTGTGAGAGCTGGAAGGAGCAAGAAAGTGAAGTTTGCAGTGAATGGTTGCGAGTTGCGACAGCTTGGGGATGTTTGATCAAGATGCTTACAAAGTTCCACACGATCATTGTAGGAGACAGGCTATGGCATTACGTTCCACGTTCAATTGGTGCTTCACTGAGATATTTTAGTTTCCCAGTAGTTGGGCAAGTTTCGTTCTGGCGATCGTTGCTCTCCTGGGCCAAGCAAATGAATGGAAGGGTTCTCAGTTACGCATTCCTGCCTGGAAGCAAAACAAGATCAGATGGTGTCTTAAAGACTGTCGAGAATCAATGAGTTAGAGTAACAAAATGTATGGTCGCTCAATAGCAGCATTCTAGGTTCGTTCAAGTTCTTCCACTTAGAACCTAAGGCCCTCCTGGGTAATCAATTGATCCAATTTGAAGACAAAAAATATCAAGCCATCAATCCATATACATCACCACAAATCTGTAGTAATGAGAAATAATACTTTGACCAGTGCCAATTGCAGGAATAACTAGCAAGGAGAGCTGACTGCTGACCTCAGAGAAGCACCAAAAACTATTGCCCACAGCAGCACCTTCCAGCCAAGAGTCCAATAGCACTGTTAACTTCAGCCATCATAGAGCCATACCCTATTGTCTCCACAATTAAAGAAACCACCAAATTGACCCGTTACCTACTTGCAAAAAAGGGGCAAACGACCTAATTGACCCACCCAACACTAACGGAAAAAAAGTGAAAACCCAAGTTGGGTCACTACTATAAAGCACCAAAACCACTGAATCAACTCCACGACAGTGAAATAAGCAAATCGATATCCCCAACTCGACCAAGTTTCAGCCTCCAATAGGGACCCCCAAAAAAGGGTGGTGGTGGCGGTGGGGAATGCACAATCGACAAAAAAAAAAGTGGTGCGCCACTTGCACCACCGGGCATTGGGAAATTTTACTGCACTTCAGAAAATACAGACAGAGAGGGCGAGAAATGGGCCAAAATCCATGCATGCATGACAGTGAGTGATCTCTCTCCCACGTCCTAATCTCATTCCACCACACAAGGATATACAAAGGACAAGCAAGGATGGGATAGCAGCATTTTACTTGAAAAAAGGTACAGAAGAAGACCAGGGAAAGAAAGTGACACAGATCTGAGAAAGCCAACATAAAAGTGATGGACGACCCACTTAAGCCACTTCATAAAAAAAAAAGAGCTTTTAGCCCCACTTGAATCCAACACTTAGACAAAAGATACTCTGTGTACATATTGTATCATTCTGGTGCTCCACTCAGACCACTCCACAGCTTTTTCTATTTAGAGGGACAGTAAGCTAGGCACTACAATGACAGATTTAAAGGGGGGAAATTAGCAACTGCGCAGTTTGTGATCTTCATGCCTCTAATCTCCCAACCACATGATGCAGGTGACAACAATACACTGTATAGATGCAGAGATTCTTAGTGTGATATGGAGAAGACGAGCATTATATGGTAACTAGGAGAAATCAGATTCCAGAACCAAGGTGAAGGGCTTAAGCATAATGATTGAGACTCAGTGTCAAATATTGAACATTATCTAATAGTGAGTGAAGGAGTACAATACAAGACGGCTTCATAAAAAGTATCAGTAACAAACTGAAGAGAGATAGACAAGCAGAGTAGAGAAGTTCCCTATGGATGGTCATCCCCTGTCTTCTTGATCAATATATGGGAGTACATAACATGTAGTTTACATAAATGACCTGAGACTGACAACTGAGATCATCATCGCTTAACGATGACAAACTGCAGGTTTATAAAAGCGGATTGCTGAAAACCAACCTAAAAGCCCCAAGGTAAACGTGCTGTCATTATTCTGCTGCTGATGCCAAACCTGCCTAAAGGAAGGGAAGAGGAGTGACTGACTGGTTATGACGTTACCTGTATTGAACTAGAGAATTGATAGGGCTAGGTTATTAGTTGTAGTCTTTAAATTTCCCCACTCTAAGCTTCTGTGCTTCAACCTTGAGCATTTTGAGATACTTGACTGCTTCGTCTATAGTGGTAACGGTATTCATTTGCTCCCCGCCAGGAATGATTCCCTTCAGTGCCTTCACCATCCTCTTCATCTTTAACTGTTTCTTCTCGCTGCTGTTGCTGCTACTACCCCCAGCGAATGACTTTTGAACAGATGAACAAACATTGCTCCTAGAGTTGTTGTGATGGTAGTAGTTGCTACAAGAATCAGGAGAGCTGCTCCCATATGTCCTTGCAGTGCTGACCTCATCTTCATCCTCGACTTCTTCATCACCATCATCGTCCACATCCAAGCTTAGCAGTGCATCAATATCATCAGAATCTTCCTTCCACGATGACAACTCCTTCTCAAGATCAAGGGCATCTTCTTTCCCCATAAAGCTCCTCTCATGAATGAAACTTGAGGGGACATTGAAGTTGGGAGCAGCGAATTTGTGGCCAATTTCAGGGTTGAACATTATTTGACTGTGATGATCAGTTTGATCAACAATTACGAAATTCCTTGGACAGACCTCAGATGGCTGAAATTCAACACCATATATAGGCAACAAGTCATCTGCAGCTGGAGGTATGTTCTCAGGAAAGGAAGATGAAAGTGGGAGATGCATGCAGTTGTCACCCCCTTGATTAGCAAATGGAGGTCCCACTGCCTTCCGGTTGAACCTTTGGTCTCTATGCATCAGAATCCCTTTCTTCAGCAGCAAGAATTGGGTTGGTTTTATGCTCTATAAGCAGGCAGTTATTTGATTTTGCAAGTGATGAACACTACTCCTACAGTGACAAATGGACCAAAATAGCTAATCAAGTTATCAACCTCTTTGGCTTAACAACAGCTGTCTATGGCATATGAAAAACCACCACCACCAAACTACTATCTCCGGCACTGCCCTTTTATATAGTATGAACACAACCAGATGGAGATTTGTCCCCAAAATCCCAATTAACATCGAAGTCTCTGCTGTTCTATACTACGTAACGGGTTTCAGCAACTGACGGAAATATTCAGCCTGCATCGATAAGAATAGAGCAAAAACAGGCATCATGGGTAATGGTCCAAGAAAATAATAACTTATAAGGAATAATGAACTAGGAGTAAGCTACCTCTTAAGAGATCAATATAATCACCAAAGGAGAATCATAATAGCTTTTTATATTTTCTATCCATTTACAGGCCAAAATTAGTAGGAATAATACGTAAGTGAATCCACGAGCCAAAGTTCGATCTAATGAAGTACAACGCTTGTACCTGACAAATTTGCATCACTTGGTAATATGCAGCAACCCGAGCACTCATCTTAGTCTTCCCTACTTGCTTCACTCCACGAAGTTGTTTAACCCCCAGGTACATTATCACTTCAGAACCCACTTATGTAATCTAAATGCACGCTTGAAATCAACCAAAAGTACCTGCAGCATCAAGCGAAAAGTGAATGCTTGATTAACAACAAAACAAGCGAAATGTGAACCCCCAATCTTAATAGTTCAAGCCCACCAAGTCATACTGGTAGAGCAAGACAATTCATTACTCCGACATAAACAAACAAAATCACTCTTAATACTTCCTTCAACCAAAATCACTCAAAAGAGTCATCCGCCATGTTTGAAATACAAATAATATTGGTATATCAGGTTAAAGAGTAAAAGCCTGCATATCTAAAGGAGTGTCCAAGAGAGAACTCACGAGCAAAGCCGAAACCCAAAATTACAGAATCACCCGGAAAAAGACCACCAAGCGAACGCAGCTCCGGTTGAAATTCACAAAAGAAGATGTCCACGGCATGCTGTTTGCTTCTTATACCTTTACTAGAGCCACCAACAGAAAACAAACCAGACGTAATCAGCCACAGAAAGAAGGAAAAAAAAAATCAAGCAGAGGGAAGTAATTATCGAGCGAAAGAAGCTCGCACAGTGAAGAATCACCGAAAGCAGAGACATATAAAGCGATCTAGTTGAAACGGGGAGAAACGTACGATCGGAGGATTTATTCGATGGGCTGCAGATTACAAGAGAACGGGAATCGCAGGCTCGAATCTAAAGATCTGATGAGAAGATTTCCCTGTAGATTTTCGTGGGAGATCCAGAGAAGAAAATGGAGAACTAGAGAGAGAGGGATGGACTGACTGTACTGGTGCTGGAGTGCTTGTAGTTGTACAAGAGAGTGGGAGTGGGGGGATTTTTATGCTCTGAAATTATTCCCAAAACGGATGTAACATCACTGTTTACTGTTTTAGCTGTCTCTCTTTCCATTAGGGGTGGGCAACCGGTTCGGTAAACCCGAACCGAACCGAAACCGAATTAAACCGAACCGAAACCGAACTAATGCTATTCGGTTCGGAATTCGGAAGGAAAATATGGATATTTCGGAAATCAGGGTTCTTTCAACCGAACCGAATTTCCGACCGAAAAACCGAAATACTATAATTGCAAGCTCAAATGGTGGATTTTTATGTTTGTATTTGTTTTTAGACTTAAATATTTGAAATGTTTTATGACTTATGTGTTGAAAAGTTTGATTTTATCATTAATGATGCATATAATTACATATTTTTTGTTTATATTAAGGGTGAAAAATAATTTAAATGTGAGAAGATACAAGTAGCCTCTCAATTTCGGTTTTGTGTATAAAACCGAACCGAATTTTAATTCGGTTCGAATTCGGTTTGGGGTTTGGGAGTATTCGAGGACCCGGTATTCATAATTTCGGTTCGGTCGAAACCGAACCGACCGAATGCCCACCCCTACTTTCCATTACTTTTTTCAATTTCCTTCTTCATTAACAACTGATATTAAATAATTTAAATAATTATGAATGATGCATTCAAGTTCATGAATTGAAAGTGATGAGTAGGAGGATTTCAGTCTCGTGGATTGATTTTAGAGATTGTTGGAGAATATGAGGATTTCAGTCTCGTGGATTGATTTTTGAGATTGTTGGAGAATATGAGTTTCAATCTAAAGATTTAAATTTTTAAGATTATTTGAATGCGGTTATGAAAAGTTTTGTGTTTAGTAATAGTGATTAGACATATTAATGAAAATATGGATTCTATTTTTTGTTTAAGCCAAAGAGTTGATCGAACAGTCATACAGAAGAAACAAGAAAAGTGTGGAAGTCGACTAATAGTTGAACCCCCCGATAAGAGGGATTTTTGTGGTACAAGATGGGCAGCCTTATTAGAGCTACGAGGGTAGGCAAGAGATATAGTAGGCCTTCAAACATCCTATTATTTTTAGTCTATGCATGCGGCTCAGCGATGCCTTTTATTTTTTGCTCTAACTATGAGAATGATTGTAATTGGTTAGTCGATTAATCGTTTAACTGCCAATTAGTAATTAGTTGAGTTTGGCTACCGAGACTGACCGTAAACTGCTTAATCGGTTATCGATGTAACTATTAACCACCGATTAAGTCTTCGTTATTGGTTACACCGCTAACAGGATAACAGTTTACCAATCCTAGTCAACTTATAATGAATAACATCTTTTGCTTATTCGGGTAAATGTTTCTAGAAAATACTAGATATATGTCGAACCAAATTACACTTCACCAAGATCCAAGCAACATTTGTGCATTTTGATATGTTTCTCTTGGGTTTATTTGCTTGAATATTTCAATTAGTCATATAAATTTTTTTAGAGTGGGATTGAAAATTTACTTAAAAGTATAGTCCAACCGAACAACTCAATTATAAACAAATCATAAAGTTCTAATTTTAATGGATGATTTTGAATTTGATATTCTCAAAACCGAAGTCTATGAGTTGGGTGATTAAAACAATGAACTCCGAACCACCCAACCCATATAAACCCCCATGGTTATATTCTCTACGTATCAGCATAGAAACATCAAAGACTCCGTGGCCCAATGGATAAGGCGCTGGTCTACGAAACCAGAGATTCTGGGTTCGATCCCCAGCGGAGTCGTTTATATTTTTCTTTTTTTCTCAATTATTTTTTTCTTTGCATTTATTATGTTTGTTGTTCAACTTTTGCAGAGTGCCCATTGTCTTCCGCACTGATTACGGAATATGGAGTACGGAAACCCAAACTGCGAGACCGGGAGCAATCTCGGTAAAGCAAGCTTGATTTCCTTAGCTTCCTCCTTTCAAACCCGCTGGGAGATCCGTACTCCTCCGCAATCAAACCTTTGTCTTCTCCTGCAGCGACCAAAGCCAAAATTGCTTCTCTGCGAGGATCATCAATTCGATGTACGGAAGGCTGCAACGATCAGAGCTAGAAATGGGAAAGAGGTCTCTGCGCTACAAGGAAAGCAAACTGAGAGAAGAAATGAAACAGAAAGGAAAAGGTCCACAGAGAAATACCCAATGGTTGCCTTCTGGCCGCCTGCGCATCTGCTTGCTTCCCCCTCAACGCGACCTTGTAGCCAATTAGGGGGTTTTGGTGCCAGGCGGCATTTATCATCACTTTCGTCTCGCCTTCATCTTAGCAGCATAAGAGGGTGAACTTTGGAGCTGATTTCTTTGTTTTTGGTGTTGACAAAATGGCTGGAGGAGCTCACAGACTGACGCCCACGGCCAAAAAGCCACGATTTTCCACTCTCATCTTGCCTGGAATGGTCCGGGACTGGCGGCTGGTAAGTTGATTCTGCTCATACATTAATACATACCACCATAGTTTTTATGCAAATGGGTGTTCCCCCGTTTTCTGTTTGACCAGTTGTGGGAAATTCATACCTCAGGCGGTTCCCAAGTTGTTTGCGGAGGAGTATGGCGATCGACTCTCGAACAGGGTAGTTTTCAAGCTCCCGGATGGCGCAGAATGGCCCATCCGGCTTTCTGGAAGCGGGGGCAAGATTTGGTTCAGCGAGGGATGGCGACAATTCGCTGACTTTTACTCTGTTAATTCGATGGGTTACTTCTTGGTTTTTGAATATATTGGCAACAGCCGCTTCCTTGTGGCTGTATTTCATCCCAGTGCCTCGGAGATTAGCTATCCTCCGTCCCATGTAGCTAATAGTAATGGAGCCGATGATGGTGGTGAAAGTGGAGACGAAGAAGATGGCGAATCTGTTGAAATCTCGGGTAGCTACCCATCTTCCCCGGAAACCAGGCAAGTGTCACTAGTGATGAACAACTGTTCCCGGCCTTCAAAGCTGAAAAGGGGGCTTGACCGTGGGATTAGTTCTGAGACAACCCCTGATGATGAGCTTTCTAGTGACAGTAGCCAGGAAGAGGAAGGTTATGGTGATTTTCAACTGTTTTCTCATTTTCAGAATCTTTCTCTTTGCAGAGGTGCTTGATCTAATACATTAAGCGGTTTTCCCCCTCAGGTTGCCCAGTTAATAGGATGTTTGGGAGGCCAGAACCATTGTCAGCAGCAAAGAAAGCCAGTGCACTCACTAGAGCCAGAGCTGCTTTCAGATCTGACAAGCCTTTCTTCATGCTAGCAATGCAGCCTTCATCTGTTTATGCTCCAATGTGTTGCAACTTGGTAAAACTAACTATGTGTAACTCTATTTCCAACGTAGAATACAGTGCTTAACTTTTGAAGTTTCGTTCTTGATTCTCTCCCTTTTCTTGCGCTTAAAACATGGCTTGGAAGCTCTGGTTAAAACTCTTTTCGTGTACTTGCATGACAGCCTTTACCGGTGTATTTTTCTGAGAGATATTTGAATGATAATTTCCGAGAAACTGTTCTTCAACTGCCTGGTGGAAGAAGAGCTTGGATTGTCGAGTCCTCTGTCAGTGTCACCTCAAATGCTGGTAAGAAGAGAGTTTTCTTTCACCATCAGTCTTGGCTTGCCTTTGCGAAGGACACCAATCTGAAAGTTGGGGATGTATGTGCCTTCGAGCTTATGGACGGTGGCGCCAAACCTACATTTGAAGTCACCATCTTCCGTGCTGCCCAAGGTGCATGTTGCAATTACTGAATCGTTCGATTCTACCTCTTCTTTGATTAGTTCGAACACTAATTCTCTTTTTGTCTTCATGGAAAACTCCCATGTTTTCGAACATTATCCAGGAAGTGGGTCGTCACCGGGTGGCAATGGTGGGGTATGTAGAAGAACCATTTCCGCAGCGCTTCCTGGAAGAGGAGTTTTAAAGAGAAACATGCAGTCGTCTAAGGGAGAAGATAACTGCTACAGGCAGTCCACCGTCTTTGGTAGTTCATCAAAAGCTGCAACTCCCTATACTTCAGTGAATCCTTCCTTCGAAGTGAATGTTGCCCTTAGTCATGTAGATCGCAATCATCGCAATCGCCCATGGAAAGTGGTAGGCTGGCTGTAAAAGCATTGTTTGTTTTCCAGAAGTATATACGGTGGCAAAAATGCTCGCATGGCCTCTGAAGTCTGAACCATATTCTTGTGCAGAGAATACCATATAGATTCGCAAGCAGTATTGAGAAAGACGTCTGTGAAGCAGAGCTATGGGTTGAAGGCAGTTACTGGCTGGTGAAGTTAGATGGAGTATTTCAGAAAGGAAAAGAGTACTTAGACCTCGCTGGCGGCTGGAGAAAATTTGCTGAGGAGAATTCTGTGCAAATCGGAAACATGTGTCTTTTCGAGCTTGTTGGGACAAAAAAAGATGGTAACAGAAAGACGATGAAATTCAATGTCAACATTTCCAGAGGAAAATACAAAATAGGATAGTCTTTTAGTGGAATTCATCTCTGCAACTTCGGGTCTTCCGGTTTCTTTCGTGTTCTGCATTGTTGAACATGTATCGTTTCGAACAGATAGATTGTCGTTGAAATGGATTTGGGATTAGCAAATCTAGTACCTGAAACTCCTCTTTTGTCCACTTAGTGTTTGCAATGCAGATTATTATTCGGATCCTACTAAAACCATAGTCTGTGAATCTTTCTCATCTCATAATGATTACTTGAGCTGTAAACAACTGATACTCAATGGCGGTTGTTGCCGGTAGCAGCTTCCCAAGCTTGTAAGATATGGTTGACAATTTCTTCAACACCCAGACCATGCTTCACCTGACACGACAAAAAATCATAATCAACACCATAATTGTAAGAAAGATTTTAGAATCTTATGTCCGTTTCCAAGTTCCGAGGAATCTAAGTGGACGAGTATAGTGCAATTCAGCTCGACTGCTGAAAGGGTGTAGGCACCCTGCTTCTGCCTCCTCGGTCGTCTGATTGAAGGAAATCACGAGCAAGGAGATTGAACACGGCTGTAGTTCACGCACTTTCAGCATGTACCACAGCCGTCAGATGTCCTTTCTCTGCGAATAGGACGACTGAGGAGGAATAGCAAGGTGCTTACGGCTTTCTCTTTCAGTGATGTAGCGAAATTTGGATGAGTAAAGTCACTGACCTGAGCGAATACAAAGGGACCCCCATCACGCATTCTCATAGCATCCCGTTCCATGACTGCTAAGTCAGCTCCAACTGCTGCTGCAAGGTCAGTCTTATTTATTACCTGCAGTTCCATAAACATGATCTCTCACTCACGGCTCAAACATGGTATTGAGTAGGAGATGCTGTTAAAAGAAAGAAGCTGAAGAAGGATGGATTGACTTACTAAGAGATCAGCTTGGGTGATCCCTGGGCCTCCTTTCCTAGGGATCTTGTCGCCGCCAGATACATCGATAATGTATATGATATAGTCCGCAAGCTCCCTACTGAAGTTGGCTGCTAAATTGTCTGCAAACAGTTAAAGTTTAATGAGCTCATCTTATACAGTAGTGGTACATTCAACTCAGGTTCATGTCATAGCCATGAAGTAGTTTCTTGCATAGGGAGGTGTGCACGGTCCGTTCAATCAAGAATTGGATTGCATCTGCAACGGACTGGACGAAAAATAAGGACCAGAGTTGAAGCAAAAGCACACGTGGTCCAGATCAGTCTGGTCTTCTCCGCAATTCAGTCCATCCTTTCTCCTTAATTTTAAAAAATCTATGTAACTGAATCAAACTATATTTAGTCGCAATCCCATTCGATCAAATATTGATTTGGTCTGGTATAGCCCAAATCGCTGGAAACTTGTCCATTCATCATCATCTAATTAAATCACATTGCATAACTATCATCTGAACCTGTTTCAAGCATTTAATACAGGGAACCACTGAACCCCATCTCACAGAGTACTAATACTGAAGGTTAAGAATAACACAGCAAGTAGTAGTCTCTTAAGTACACACATTGCGCATGGTTCGGGCCAGAGTTGGATTGAATATGCATAGGACCGGATCAAAGATAATTAGATAAGGACCAGAGTCAAATTGAGTTCGAATCTGATCCAACCTGGTCCAGTCTGTTTTCCCCCCTTCTTAACCTATGGAGCCGAAGCAGAATCAAACTACATCAGGTCTCGGCCCGAACTCAATCAAATGTCGATTTGGTCCCATGCAAACCGAACAATTGCACACCCTACTTGTGGCTATCTGATCACTAACCGAATTCATCATCATCATCCAACTACATCACATTGCAGAAGCAAGTGATTTGATTTCTAAGCAAAGTCTGCATCACAATACAAGTAGAGGCATCTATAAATAATTGGGGAGAATTTTACCTCCACCAGATTCACAGAGAAGCAAGTCAGCTTTGAAGAGCTTGGAGAGCTCCTCCAGAGGGCCGAGATTGATGCTGATGTCCTCACGAATGGCGGCATGAGGACAGCCTCCTGTTTCCACAGCTCGAATCCTCTCCTCGGGGAGAGCTCCATTCTTGATCAAGAACTCACCATCCTCTTTAGTGAATATATCATTCGTAACCTACAAAAGACAAACAACAATAACACCTTCAACATTCTCATCCTAATTCAAACCAAAAACAACAATTAAGAGCGACCCACAGATGTAGAGATGGGTGGTAACAATGAATTACTGCAGCAAGACTGTATTTTTCCCTCAAGACCTTGCAAATGGCCAACATCAGAGCTGTTTTCCTGGGTCATTTTGAGAGATAGAAAACACAGATTAATTTCATGGTTGTGGGGGTAGGATGCAAGCAATTATGGAAAGCGAGAGAGGGAGGATTGGATTAGAAACCTACCCAGTACCCACAGGGCCGCCAATACCGATGGTGAAAGCTCGGTCATTGAAATCCCTAGTGAGGATTGGGGGAGCTCTCCTGGTGAAGTAGCCTGGGGAGTAAATGGGTTCGTGGGAATGGGGTGCCAGTCCATCGTGGCTGTGGTAAACCTTCCCGTCGGCGCCTACCCATGAACTTGCGTTGCCCGTTTCCCTGATACCTCCATGGAAGGATGACAACATAAACAGGAGGAAAAAAAAACAGAAGAGAACAATTAAAAGCGAAGAGGAGGAGGCTGGATTGATTGATAATTACCCGTGAGTGTGGGTATGGTCGTGGTGATGGTCATGGTCATGGTCATGGTTGTGTTCATGATGATGATCGTGAGAAGCCATTGATGAATTGACTTGGGTCTCTCTGTTGCTGGTATCTAGCACCGAGTATGACCAGATTCAGGGCGAGTGCTTGTGTAGATGGAAGTAGAGTGTCTTTCTGATTCGTGTTCTTGGGAGTGGAGACGCGAGATTCCTGCTGTCTTTGGATTGGAGTATTATGTGGATTGTGGAGTCACTAATTCACTATCATGCTAGTTTTTAATAATTGAGAGCTTGGGGAATGGCGATATCGTTGTCTAGTGTTCTTGCTTGACTTTCAGTTTGTGAGGTGGTCCTCGTTCTTGACCATCACAACAATTAAATACCATTTCTATTTAATGTGTGGTCATTAAATAGAAATGACCATTAAATAGAAATGACCATTATTTATTTCTATTTAATGTATCAATGAAATCCATTATTTATTTCATGAGTCTCACTTACTTTTTAATACAACTATACATTTTATCTAAGGCTAAATTACACGTTTGGTCACTCAAATTATACAAATCTTTCATGTTTGCCACCCGAATTACTTTTCTTTCTTATTCGCCACTAACTTTACGAATCGTTACACGGTTAGTCACCGGTCGTTACACTCCGTTAAATTTATCCTACGTGGCAGTCAACTATAAAGTTTGACCATTAACTAAATGACGTGGAAATTAAAAAAAAAATTCTTTCCACCTCATCATTGTACGGAGGAAAACACGTCGTCGAGCTTCCCCGGCGAATATTATATAATCAAATCTCAATCACAGGCCCCCGTGAAACACATCGTCAAGCCTTGAAAACTCAATCAGATTCTCTTCCTCGCCGTGAAAACTCAAATCCAAGTCAAAATCCAATTCCAAATCCTTCCCCTTTCCCTTTCCCTTTGTACCGCGATCCAAAGCTATCTCGATCAACAACTCTTCTCTGTCTTCCTCTTCCCACTGGAACCTTCCGCCTTTCGCCGCCAAATCCCACCCTCCGGTGGTCGAAAAGCCCTCGTCGCCGCCGTCCGACGAGCAATCGCAGTCGGTTTCAGGGTAATACATTGACAAAGAAGGGTACCTCTCCAAACCCGCCTGATTCCCTTCCTCCCCATTTCTCCCATCAATTGCATCACCCAAATTCGAATTGGGCGGAGGGCCACCGTCCTCTCCTTCTCCGCCTTCCTCGCAGATTACCTCCAATGGCGCGTCGACATCCCACTGGACGAAAGATACCTCGAAATCCCTTTTCGCAGTTGGTTTTAAAGAATCAGTTTTCTCTACGATCTCGCTCCTGGGTTCGACGATTTCTTCGATTTCTCTGCTCTTCTCTACTCTCTGGACGGTTCCGAGCCGGAGGAGATAGAGCAGGCTGAGCGCTGTGATGACGATCACCGGCGAGAGGCAGAAACCGATGGCGCTAGGGAAGTAGAGGACGATTAGCACGCAGAGGGAAATTGTGAAGGAGAAGAGTGGGTAATCGGTGGAAAGGCGGGAGATGGATTCTGGGGTGAGATGGAAGGGAGAATTGGACGGCGACATGGTGGTGAGGAGTAGAGAGAGGGATTTTAGTTCCCATGGGTTGATTGCAATTGGCTCCATTGTTCCATCCGAAGCGTGAAGGCTAAGCTGATTTCCTTGAAGGGAAAGTGAAGCCGGAGGAGGAAAAACAGAGCAAGCAAGCGAGGGAGGGAGGAGGTGGAAGTGGGCACGAGATATTTATTAATATGATAAATTATATAGAGAAAATAAGTGCAATGATGAGGTGGAAAGAATTTTTTTTATTTTTTTTAATTTCCACGTCATCTAGTCAACGGTCAAACTTTATAGTTGACTGTCACGTAGGACAAACTTAACGGAGTGTAACGGTCGGTGACCAATCGTGAAACGATTCGTAAAGTTAGTGGCAAATAAGAAAGAAAAGTAATTCGGGTGGCAAACGTGAAAGATTTGTATAATTTGAGTGACCAAACATGTAATTTAGCCTTTTATCTAATTATGTATTATGTATTGTTGTATGTTTATTTGTTTTGTGTTACAATTTAAGATTTCAATGCATGAACCAGTTTATTTATGCTTAATCATTATTTTTATTAAGTATTGCTGATTTGTTATATGATTTGTATTTGGAAGTAGTTGTGACATCTTTATATTTATATAAGCGTACATGAACTTTGTTTTCGTATTACACTTTCAAAATCTACAAAATTAATTAACCAAAACTTAAGAATTTTCTAATCTATTAAGTTTGTTTATCTTACTCATGTCATGTGGATGGGGCGGTGTTATTGGGATCTCACGGTGCGGGGGGATTGGTTGTCCGAGATGGTATGGGTCGAGTGTGTCTGGTTAAGGGCTTTTATTATGCAGATGTTGTGGATCCTTTGCTGGTTGAGCTTGTAGCATTTCGGGACGCGATTCAGTGGTGCTCTTTGAAGGGACTTACTGAAGTGTGATTCTACGGGGACGCCAAGGTTGGTATTGAGAAGATTCAACGGCGGGATGCACGAGATTTGAAGGGCGGGCAGATTTTGGAGGAAATTGAGGGTTTGATGCGTCAGTATCATAATTTGGTGTTTCTTTTGTTGGCAGGGATGACAATCGGGTGGCTCATGATGTGGCCAGGAAGACCCTCTCTTTGTTACTTGCAGTTGTCGAGAGTTTTGATTTTGATCGTTGGTTACATTTTGGATTGTAAACATTGATATCTTCTGATTTTGGTAATGCTAGTTGTCTATTGATAAAAAAAAGTTTGTTTATCTTTTTTTATTCAATTAAGTTTGTTAATGATAATTTGAAAAAAGGAAAACAACATTACGTACGCATACATACACATGGCCTTCCATTTTTATCATTTGTTAAATATATAATTTCCAAAACAAAATGGAAATGAAAAAAATAACATCAAATGTGAGATGGAGCTCACTCTCCCCTCACATGCTCTTCCATTTGCTATTTCACTAAGTGGAAGATCCCACTCTGTGAAATAGGTATCATAACCATGATATAGGAAAATTCTGATTACCTTTCTCTCTCTTTCTATGAACTCTCTAACCTCTCTTTACAATTCTTCAATTTCTATATCTGGAACTCTAGATGCACTCTCCAATGGAGATGCTTTTTCAACCTCCAAAGTCTCTCAAATGGGGAAGGTTACAGCTGGAAATCTCCTATCAACCAAGGATCCCATCAGCACTAATGGCAGCCAATGATTTATAAACAGGAGCTCAGTGTCGGTGATTGCAGGGGGAGTATAATTTCCAAAACAAAATGGAAATGAAGAAAATAACATCAAATGTGAGATGGAGCCCACTCTCCCCTCACATGCTCTTCCATTTGCTATTTCACTAAGCGGAAGATCCCACTCTGTGAAATAGGTGTCATAAGTCATAACCATGACAGAGGAAAATTCTGATTACCTTTCTCTCTCTTTCTATGAACTCTCTGATCTCTCTCTACAATTCTTCAATTTCTATATCTGAAACTCTAGATGCACTCTCCAATGGAGGTGCTTTTTCAACCTCCATAGTCTCTCAAATGGAGAAGGTTACAGCTGGAAGTCTCATATCAACCAAGGATCCCAACAGCACTAATGGCAGCCAATGATTTATAAACAGGAGCTTAGTGTCGGTGATTGCAGGGGGAGTTATTGCAGAAGTGAGCGAGCCACCTATAGTGAATCGAACCCTCTGCAGCAACCCAACCTCCCAAAATCTTTCCCATTCAATGCTTCATTCCTCAAATAAGAATAATTAGATATCTATACCAAGAAAGAGGATAGGCAATTACAACCTTAGTCCTTTCAAAATGTCAACTTCAATTTTGTTGACTTCTGGATCTAGGTTCACGACATCCTAGACTACAAGAGGACGGTGTCCAACATCGAATAAGCGGTGGCAATGTTTCCTAAGGTTCACAACATCGATATAATGGGGCTGAATCCATATAGATATATGGAGTTTGTTCGGGTTTTCATATAGACTGATCTCACTAGACCTCTTCCCCTTGGTTGGGATTTAGGTATGAGAAGATGTATATTCTCTATTACTATTGTGGGATGCAAGGTCATGGGAAGCAGGAGTGCCAGAAAAGGAGGAATGATATTGAGCAAGGAAGTGCAGCTCCACCAGAGGGAAGGTTCACTCTGTGGATGAAGGCTGGAACTATAGCAGACCGACCTCCCCCTCCCCTGCGAGGCCGAGTGGTGTACCAATCACCAGGTGATGCGGGATCCAACATAGGGTCCCTAAGATTTACCCAAAATAAGCTGTGGATCCCGGGAAGAAACTCATCAATAACAAGATCTACAAATTCCGACTCACCGTCAACGCCGTCTGGAGGTGGACGGGATTACGAGATTCGAGGTCCACCTGGTCTCACTCCCCATCCTTTCCCAACGGGCTTCTCAACATCAAGCCCGAGGTCTGTCTCGGGGTATGCTACCCAACGACTCTACTCTCCTGGTCTGAAGCAAATTTTGGTGGTCTATGGAGCTATTCCTCCTCATTCCCCTACTGCAGCCTCACAAGTGGCGAGAAACCTCTCAGAGGAGATGGAGACAACTGCTTATTGGGCCAATAGATTCCCCCACCAGATGGGCCTTAGAAATCGACCAAACTTAGCCCAAGATGAGTTTTTTTACACATAAGAAGTGCGGACTCAGCCCAATCCCCATAATATCTCTCAGGTATATGTGGATCTATCCCATAAAATGGATCTCAACATGAGGCCCATTGAAGATGATCTTGAGTACCAGAAAGTAGAGAATAAAGATGGTAGGTCTGATATGAAGAAAGAGGAAGCATGGGCAGTCGCTTGACTTTGAAGACCCATATTTCTCCTTGGGTGAAGGATCCATTAAAAAACGTAATGCTAGAATTAAAACAAATAATCGAAGGCCGAAGGCTGCCACTGAAGAACTGATGGGAAATGCTGGAGAAACATAGCAGTATGAATAGCTGTCAATCTCCAACTCTGAAGCGCAGGTGGCCAGCTTTACGCCACCGGGGGATAAATGAGTTGCTTAAGCTGAAACTGTTAGGGTATTTGGCAAAATCGGACAGAAAATCATCTAAAAAGGATGGTAAGAAAATTTCGCCCTTCCTTAGTTTTTTTTATGGAAACAAAGAATACTAGGGAGATTTTGGAGGAGAAGAGGATCATCAACAATTTCTACAAAGGCGAGTACGTCGACCCGGAGGGGACAACTGGTGGATTAGCACTTTAGTGGACACCGGGTTTTCCTATCCAGATTTTGGATCGCGGACGACATTTTATTGATGTTTATATTAG